GAGCCGGGGCCGGCCGGCCGCGTTCCGCCAGCGCGGTCGGGACCGAGCCCTGCACGAGGTGTCCTGGAGGGGATGGAAAACATTGCGGGGTTGGCACCTGCGAGCTGGAATGGCGTTTGCACGCTTGCAAACTGGGTCTTACACCTCCAGTCTTGCAGAGCAGTGTGGGGTTGGCATTGGTGCACAGGCAGGTTGGAATGGGGTTTGCAAACTGGTTTGGATCGAGTCTTACACCTTGAGCCTTGCAGACCAGTGTGAGGTTGGCATTGGTGCACTTGCAAACTGGAATGGGGTTTGCAAACTGATGTGGATCCAGTCTTACACCTCCGGCCTTGCAGACCAATGTGGGGTTGGTACTTGTGCACTTGCAAGCTGGAATGGGGATTGCAAACCGGTGTGGATCCAGTCTTACACCTCTGGCCTTGCAGACCAGTGTGGGGTTGGCATTGGTGCACTTGCAAGCTGGAATGGGGTTTGCACGCTTGCAAACTGGCGTGGTCTTACACCTTGAGCCTTGCAGACCAGTGTGAGGTTGGCATTGATGCACCTGCAAGCTGGAATGGGGTTTGCACACTTGCAAACTGGTGTGGATCCAGTCTTACACCTCTGGCCTTGCAGACCAGTGTGGGGTTTGCATTGGTGCAGTTGCAAGCTGGAATGGGGTTTGCACGCTTGCAAATTGTGACTCACTTTTCCTTTTCCCTCCGTGTTCGTTGGCTGGGGTGGGAAGCGGCTCTCGCGGCTCTGGGTTTGCGCGCCGGTTCCTGGCTCGCTGGTGGTGAATCATGGCCCCGTTTTATTTCAAAATCACCATTACTGGGCATGAGCCATAGTTCCCCTTTTCCTGAAAAAAAAAAAAAAAAGAGCATCATTATCCATCGGAAAGCTCCCAGCTCTCCAATTCAGGCATTGAGGGAGTGCAGAGTCAAGCAGCCTAGTTGCTGTCGGGACCAGCAATTTTTTAATGCCTTTTTTTTTAAAAAAAATGATTATTTTGGCCCAGTCTTTGCCCTAGGTGCTGGGGTCCTGCCGAGTGCGATGGATCCAGCTGCCGAGCTCCTCTGGGAAAAACGCAGCCCAAGCGGGAAAGGCGGTGGGAGCCTTCCTTGGGGTAGGAAAGCGAGGCGGAAAAGGGAAAACTGGGGGCAAAGAGGACATAATCCAGGCAGGTGATGGGCGCTCCCCCTGGTTCCTTCTCCGTAGATTCCTCGGATTTAATGAGCCACCCTCTCCTCATTACCCGGTGCGGCAAGCGCGGTGACAGCGGTGACAAGCCGCGAGCAGGAGGCAGGTGGTTATTTCATGCCCCGCGGGGATCCGGGGGGGACCCACCGCATCCCCCCCGCATTTTCTGGGTGAGAAAGAAGAGGTTCAACTTGCAGGCAGCTCCGAGAGGAACGTTTTTCCCTTTTCCTTGAGCTTTTCCTGGAGGATGGGAAAGACACGCTCTTGCCAAGAGAAATATAGGGAAATGGGGGGGTGTTTGCAGCGGGAATGTGCACCGGAGTGGGATGGAGCCTGGCATTATGGTGCACACTGTTGCAAAGGAGGGAGCACGTTGCAAGGGTGTTTGCAAGGAGCGGCTCCGGCCGGGATGCACCGCTGTCCCGGAACGCCCGTGTCCATCCCCCCGCCGGTGTTTCCAACATGTTTGTGCCAAGATCCTGCTCCAAATTCCCTGCTAGGTTGAGGGGCTGAGCCCCCATCCCGGGGCTCCATCCTTGACGATCCAAGCCCATCCTTGTCCCCGTGCTGCTGTCCGGCGTAGTGTCCCTTTTGCACCGTGCACTGTGCCCATTCCGTGCAAGCGAGCGCGTGGCTTGCGGAACAAGCGGAATTGGGTCGCATTTAAGTATTTCCCCCCATCCTTTCGCCGCTTCTGCAGGTGCTGGTTTTCCAGCATTCATTTAAGGCCTTGGCTTCCTTTTATTTTTAATCCCTCCCTGCCCCTGTACATGACAGCGTGGCCGGCGGTTTTGTTGCAGCACAGCAGAGCTGGCTGTGCACTTGGCAGATCTGCTTTCCTCTGGAGAGGACGGGAATCTGGGTCAGGAATATATGTATCTCCTCAAATTCCTTGGAGACCAGATTGAATCCAACCTTGATTCTTCCCTTCGGAGCCTCCCGAGGTTTCTACCTGGTGGGGCGGGTTGTGCACGGGCGGATGGAGCGCAAGCTGCCGGTTTCCTAAATCCCAGGGCTTTGCACAGCGGGATTCATGGCGAGGTGCTCGCTCCAAGCACCGGGCGGCTGCAGCTTCCGAGGTTTCGCTGCGGAGCGCGCGGCGCCGGAGCCCCGGTGCAGGAACCCAGATAGCATCGCCCCCGAAACCAGAATAGAAGCTCTGGAGGAGGCCCGAGCGCGTCGCTGCGGTTGTGATATCGGTTTGGAGATAACAGGGTGCTCAAGAGTGCGTGGAGCTGGGCCGGACACCGCGAGGGCTGCACCAGCCGCGCGTGCATGCATGCGCTTGCATGCAAGTGTGTCCCCTCGCATGCAATTGTCCCCTCGCATGCACTTGCATGCAATTGTGCACAACCCGGTTGCTCCCTTTGCGTTTCCTCGCTCCCTTCTTGCCTCCGGCTCGCTCCCGCGCCTCTCCGCATCCCGAAGCCGAGCCGCGGAGCGCCCTTGCCCGGAGAGGAGGAAAAGCCACGAGCAGAGCTCCGGGGCTGCGTTTTGGGGAAGTTTCTCGTTTATTTGCTTCCCCCACTCCGCCCCTACAGAACAGCAAACTTGCCCCAAAGGAAATGCAGAGCCTTTGGTGACGGCGCGCGAAAGGAAACAGGAAGGCCAGCACGCGGCTGAGCGCGCGGCCCCAGGGGTCATTGAGCTGCGGGGGAAGCGGAAGGGATGCTCAGTTTGGTTTTTTTCTTGCCTTTTTTCTGCTTTTCTTTCTACCTCCCTCCAGAGCTCGACAGGAGCTTAGGGCACGGGCGGCAGAGAGCTGGCGAATTCATAGAGTCATAGAATCATGGAATTATGGAATGTTGAAGGTTGGAAGGGAGCTCTAGGGATCATCCAGTGCAGCCCCCTGCACACGCAGGGTCACCTAGAGCACGTGGCACAGGGCTGCGGCCAAGCGGGTTTGAAGATCTCCAGAGAAGGAGACTCCACAACCTCTCTGGGCAGCCTGTTCCAGTGCTCTGGCACCCTCACTGTCAAGGAATTTTTCCTTAAGTTCCTATGGAACTTTTGGTGTTTTAATTTCCGGCCGTTTCCTCTAGTTGTGTCGGAGGCCACCAGTGCAAAGAGGCCGCCCCATCCTCCTCACGGCCTCCCTTGAGGTACTTCTAGACACTGCTCAGGTCCCCTCTCAGCCTTCTCTTCTCCAGCTGAACAGGCCCAGCTCCCTCAGCCTCTCCTCACAGGGCAGATGTTCCAGGCCCCTGATCATCCTCGGAGCCCTGCGCTGGCCTCTCTCCAGCAGCTCCACATCCCTCTTGTCCTGTGGAGCCCAGAACTGGACACAATCCTGCAGATGTGGCCTCAGCAGGGCTGAGCAGAGGGGCAGGATCCCCTCCCTGGACCTGCTGCAGACGCTCTCCTTAACGCAGCCCAGGATCCCATTGGCCTTCCTGGCCACGAGGGCACCTGCTGCCCCATGGTCACCTTGTCGTCCAGAATTCGTCACTCTGAGGCCACATGCGGGCAGCCTAAAGGGCAAAATTTGCCTGTTTAAGGAAATTAAAAGCCAAGGCCCACACAGGTCCACAGCGAAATTGCTTAGAAAGGGTTGAAGAGGCTTCGCAGTGCATGCAGGCAGTAAAAATATCATGCTCCTCAACGCCCGTCCCTCCAATTGGAAGCAATTTGCTGCGAGCAGGCTAGGAATTACTCAGCACCGAGTTAACCAGCACCTGCGCTCGCTTAATTGGCACGTCTGCTAATTGCTGGGAGACGAATCCTCTTGGAAGCGCGCGGGAGGCACCTGGCAGCTCCCTAGCGCCCCGATTCGCCCGGGCACGGCTGTTCCCTGCCTTATTATTTATCTATTTTTATCTATTTTAACTTATTCACGTGCAGAGATTCTCCAGTGGCTCGTATAGCTGGGGCTCGCGACACATCTTTGCCAAAAGGGAGCCGGGCGAAAACATCCAGTGGGAGCAAAGTGGGGTTTGCTGAGCCTCCGTTTCCTGGGAAAACCGGGATTTAGCTGTTCTGAAAGGAAATTGTGGATGTGTCAGCAAGGCTGGAAAACACAAGATCCCAGGGAAAATATTACTCACCAAAATAAATCTAAGGAACAAAGTTACTCAAAACTCCATGAATCCCCCCAAAAGCAAATGCAGATGCGTGCCGGGAAGATATTTTCACTGCTTTCTCTCTCCTCCCGGCAGGCTCCTGATCGGATGCTGACGACTCGATCCCGCAGGATTCGGACACGCACGAGGGTACCATGAACTGAGAAGGCCACGTCCGACCTCTTTTTTTTTTTTTTTCCTTTTTTTTTCCACACGTTTCTCATTTAAAAAGAGAAGAAAGGGGGAGGAAAAACCAAACTTTTAATGAAAGCTTTTTAAAAAAAAAACGGGTTTATTTCCCCCCCTTCCCCTTCCCCTGCACGGAAGTCGCTGCCGCCGCAGGGCAAGGATTCCCGGCGAAGATGGGGAGGAAAAAGATCCAGATCCAGCGGATCACAGACGAGCGCAACCGGCAGGTGGGTGTCCCTGTGGCTCCCTGCCTGCCTCCTCCTGTAAAGATTTGGGTGTTTTTCCACCTTTTCCATAGAAAACATCCTCTACTAGTTTCTCCTCAATTTTTTCCTTTCTTTTTTTTTTTGGAGCAAATAGGTTGTGTTTGGCATTTTTTGCAGCATTTTTCCAGTAAAAGCGGATACTGTATCTGCTTTTCCATCTGATTGCAGAAAAAAAACCCCAAATGGTTACTTTTTCCATCGCCAATTGTTATGGATAATATATTGGGAGACCTTGGGAGCTATTCGGCTTATAAGGGGTCTCGGGAAGCCTGGTCGAAGCCTGAGGAAGAGGAGGAGCGCGAGGAAGAGCCCTAATGGCATTAGCAGAGTGACGGAGAGGGGATTTGCCAGGATCAGGCTTTCGTGGCCGCTCCGGCAGCCCGGAGAAAGGCCGGAATCCCAGGAAGTAATTCCTTCCTGACCCCTTTGGTGATCGGCTTATGCCTGCGAGCTGGAGATTTCATTCCTCTCGGCGACTTACAAGGTTAATTCACCAAGAGGTGGATCGTGATGGTGGGAGCAGCACCAAATTTGGGGTTTCTGCCCCATTTTGCAGCCGGCAAATTTTCCTTTTTCCCTTCCTGGCGCAGCCGATGGGGTTGGTCCAGTCCTGCTGGAACGATGGGTGGGATTGGGGCCAGATTGGGAATGGGGGGAACCATCCCAACCTCTCGATCCGGCCCTGGTGATGCTGAGCATTGCCCTGGGTGAAAATTGGGGTGAAAACAGGAAAAATCCCGGCAGCCCCTGGGCGGATGGGAGCTTGTCGGGGGATTTTGCTGGAATTTCTCCTGTTTTGGCAAAGGGTGCTTTCCAGCACGGGTGATGGTCCCCATGCTCACTAAGCCTTCAGCAGCTCCGAAAATGGGATGGGAAGGGGAAGGAGGAGGCAGTAGGGATGCTTCCCGCATCCTTCCTCTGGTGTTTTCCCATATGGGGCTGGGGGTGGATGCTGGATGCGGCTCCCTGAGGTTCTCCGCGTGCTTCCAGGTGACCTTCACCAAGCGCAAGTTCGGGCTGATGAAGAAGGCGTACGAGCTGAGCGTGCTGTGCGACTGCGAGATCGCCCTCATCATCTTCAACCACTCCAACAAGCTCTTCCAGTACGCCAGCACCGACATGGACAAGGTGCTGCTCAAGTACACCGAGTACAACGAGCCCCACGAGAGCCGCACCAACGCCGACATCATCGAGGTGGGCAGCAAAAATCGGGAAAACGGGGAGAAAATCCGCCGCGCGCTCCCCATCCGCTCCCTGGCGCATCCCGGCCATCGCGGCGCTCCCTGGCGCATCCCAATGCACTTCCCGGTGCTTCCTGCTGCTTCCGGAGCACCCACTGCTCATCCCATCGTGCCGGGGGAGGAATAAATCCCCGCTCCGGTGCTGTTGCCGCCCAGAGCCGGTTAATCCCGTGCGTGCCGGAGGTGAGGATTTGGGGCAGCGGCGCGCACGGAATTTGCTGGAGCTGGGTCGCTTTGGGCCGCATGATTTTGAGAGCAAAAAGAACAACCTATCTCATATATTAATATAGATACGTACTTAATACATATTTTAGTTTATATATCATCCGAATCCCTGATGCTCCCAAGCGGATGAGCATCCTCCTTGGTACCCAGAGAGGTGCGCGGCTCCGTGGAGCCACACGGACACTCGGTGTTTTCCTTAATGCCGGCTTTCCACATAATATTTTTTCCCATTAAAAACAAGGCCAAGCGGCGCCCGGAAGCCGCATCCAAGGGCACGCGGTGACATTCCAGGCCGGGAGCGGAGGACACCGCTCACCCGCGGAGGTGACAGCAGGGACCTCTCGCTGCAATTCCTATGGGCAAAGGCACCAGGAATGTCAACAGCGGGGTCGGAAATTGGGACACAGGGATAGCGGGGTGAAGCACGCCCAAAATAACGTTTTTTTTCTCCCCCAATCTTGATGTTTTCAGCCCCATTTTCTCCTTTGGAAAAGTTGAAGGAATCCGTTTTGTGACACCTTTAAGTGAAAGGTTAAAAAAGGAAAAGGAAAAGCCTTGTTCCTCCCTCACCTTCTGCTTTTCCTGTGAAAAAAGGGAGAAAAAAAGGGTAGGAAAATGGCACCTTGTTGCCCTCTTCCCCTTTCAAAAGACCTTGCAGAAACCCTGAAACTGAAGGAAATTGTTTGCTTTTGATTCTCCCCAATACAAGATTGGCTCCTTTTCACATCATGCCATGAAAACTGTGGGACACATATTTTTTTTTTCCTTTTTTTTTGCTTCCTCACCAAGAAACAGCAGCTGATGTTCACATGCTCAGCAAGGGCATTTGTTGCCCAAAAGCTCCTTTTTTTTTCCCCCAAACAGTGAATTGGCCCGGGTGGCCCCAGTGCGCGCGGGACCTCGGCGTGGTGACAGTGACAATAATCTGATCTTACGCTTCAGGGAGTCCACCGGGTGCCGGGAAGGATTTTTTCCTGCCTCTCTGCATGCAATTGGCTGGATTAGCCTGATTTCCTATGGAATGGAGGGGATCGCGGCCAGCTGGGCATTGGGGACACCAAAAAAGCCACCCCAAAGGGAAGAAAACCTTGGGAAACAGGGACAAAGAGCAGGTTGGGCTCCCAAATCCGCTGCCTGCTTTCGCCCACGAGTTTCCAAAGATTTCAAGGAATTTCCTCTGAGTTTCATAACTAGGAAGAGGCTGCCATAGCGGCACAACCCTTATTTGCCACGCGCGAATCCCCACCGGCAGGGCCCTGGCAAAAAGCCGTCTCCATCAATCCCGCTGCTCCTGGAATGACTTTTTTTCTGCTTTGCCTTTGAAAAAGAGGGAGGAAAAACACTTTTTTTATTAAGAAAGCAAGAAGAGAGCTGCAACTTTCCATATCTTGGCTGAATCGGTGAAACAAAAGGTTTTGGGAATGAAATTCCCCAAAAGTCACTTCTAAAAGAGAAAACAGAAAAAGGTGAAGCTGTTTCTTCTGCTCTATCTCTAAAAGCAGCCCTGAGAAGGGGATAATAGAGCCCTAAGTTGCATTTTTTGCCCCTTCTTGCTGTAACCCCACATTTCCCAGCAATAAGAGAGCCTCTCCAGGATATATTTGGCCCTAAAAAAGCCTATATTTATGACTGTTTAGGAAGGCAAGAGGAGAATTGTAATGTTTCTTTTTTTCCCCCCTGCTGCATTTGGCATGAAAAGAGACCAAGACTTCCAGGAAATTCTGCAGTTTTGACTCAAAAAAAAGAAAAAAAAAGAAGAAAAAAATAAAATTGGCAAGCGGGGCTGCCATCATAACGCCTAATTGCTTTGGGTGTTTTGCAAATAAAATGATGAAATGTGTGTGCTGCCACCAAATGGGATGGGGACACCTTTGGGGGCATGTGCTTTTTGGTGCAAAATGGGGGAAATTTCTCTGGGCGAGATCCATAATTGCATCTTTTCCATTGCTCGGTGGCGTTTTGGGGCTGCAACCATGAGTTTGGGCAAGGGGATGCTGCTCAGAGGAGGAATGGGAGTGGGAATGGGGTATCCGGGTGCATCCGCAGGACCACTGGGCCCTGTCCTCTCTCCATCCTGGAGCTCTTGTATCCTACCAGTATCCCACTTGTCGTTTTCCAGACATTAAGGAAAAAAGGGTTTAATGGCTGTGACAGCCCCGAGCCGGATGGTGAGGACTCCATAGATCAGAGCCCGTTGATGGAGGATAAATTCCGCAAAGGCAGCGAGGATTTGGACATCCTGTTCAAGCGCTACGGTGTAAGTACCCCTGCTCCATCCAAAAAACTTCCATTTTATATTATATATTTTATATGTATTTTAGGGTTGCTTTATTGGCTCCTGGAAGGTTTTATCCTCTGGTCCCAGTCGTGGCATCAGGATGGGAGGGGATTTATGGCAGCAGAACGAGGCAAAGCAAGCGGGGGGCTCGTTGCAAATCGGCTTGCAATTCAAGCAAGCCGAAGCGAGCGATGCAAGCCATGCACGGGTGCAAGGTTGCACTGCTCCCTCCTTATTCCCAAGCTGCTTCCCAGGTCTTTTGTGTTGGAGGAGGGGGAAAAGGCTTAAGGAGGAAGCCCCGGTGTGCAAGCAAAGCCACCAACGAATGTCCCCTTGAATGTGCACCCTGTGCTCAGTCTGCAGTGCCGGCTCCCAACTTCGCCATGCCCGTGACGGTGCCCGTGAGCAGCCAGAGCTCGCTGCAGTTCAGCAACCCCGGGGGCTCCCTGGTGACGCAGACGCTGGTGACATCGTCGCTCACGGACCCCCGGCTCCTGTCCCCGCAGCAGCCGCCGCTGCAGAGGAACGCGGTGGCCCCGGGGCCGGC